GTCATACGTCACTAAAAAGATGTCTTACAGGGCAGCTCATGCCGCTAGTACGTCGTGATTAGCTGTATTTTAATCAACTTCATATTCAATAATTACAGAAAATTGTGTTTACAGTTGCAGCAAAACGTCTGAACCCTATGTCGTAGTCCTACACACATTGTAACTAACGGTTTGACCTAAAATAATAACCTAAATCTATCTGGAACCGCTACCGGCCCTTCTGCACTCCAGACGAGTCCCGTTAGCATGACTGCAGCAACACAGCTAACTGTGTTAGCAAGGGAAAAAGTAATTTGGAAAGCCACGACACACTCACACAGATAAGATCTAAAAGATGATCCACATATTTCAACAATAGATCCTCCAGAGACCGGTAGAACCTCAGAACTATCCTGGATTACTACAAACACAAGCTAGCGAGCTACTGCAGCATCCCAGTCAGGAGGAATTATTCTGCTGATCTATCGATTAAATTTGTTCTGGAGTTATTTCAATATAAACACGCAGCGGTTCAACTGGCAGCACATTGTTTTATCTATAGATTAGTGAATTATATTGGGACGGTATGATGGGGCTAATGGTCAGCTAACAACTCGCCAGCTGAGGGCTACAAGCTTAGAAATGAAATATTCATCTAAAGTAAACAAACTGAACTGATTTTGTTTCTGAAGATGTTCAGCATTCTCCCTGGAGTCCAGATCAGGCTCACGGGTCTTCTCGCCGTATCCCAGATCTGACCGATCTTGTCATGTTCAAGAAGCCAATGTGAAATGATTTGAGCTTTATGACATGGTGGATTATCCTGCCGGCTTGTGGAGCTCTGGGATGGAAACCTTTCCACCCGGTTCTCCCCAGCGGCAGCTCTGCGCATCTCAGATTGCAGCGGCACTTGTCTGCTGTGCGGCTGCCGGCTTGTGGAGGTCTCGGAGACCTCTGTGTTCCACCTGGTTTTACACAGCGGTCAGCCTGGCGTATCTCTGACTCAGAAGCTCTGGTGTTGTGTACAGTTAACTCCAGTTGTAGCTAGGTTGCTACCCCCGTTAGCTTAGCTCCCACCTCCGCGTTAGCTTTGGGTTAGCTTCAGGTTAGCTTGTAGCTAGTTCGACCGGGTGTCATCATTTGTTCCCAGCCTTACAGCCCCACCCTCAGCTCCTCCTCTCTTCCCTTTTGTGGAATTGTCTGGGCTTGAAGGAACCTGTGACACGGTCAAAATGGCGGTGGTGGCCACCTCCCATTTGGCCTCAAAAACGTTATTGGAGTCTATGGAAACCCATTGTCCATATATGTATACGTCGATGGTCGAAACACACGTAAATATGGTGACTGCTTTACTACCTGCTACATATGAGATGTTGGAACTTATTGTACAGGAGACTAAAACGGATCCTCTGCTCCAGAAAGTGTTATAACAAGTCCAAAATGTTTGGACAAGGGGAATGTGTCCAGGATTTTATCCTGTGCGTATGGATTTGTGTGCAGCTAATGGGCTGTTGCTGAGACAAGACAGGTTAGTCATCCCTCAGGCCATGTGGAACGACATGCTCCAGCTGATACAGCAGGTCACCTTGGAGTGGAAAAGTACAAGCTCAGAGCAAGAAGAGCTGTCTACTGGCTATGCAAGGATGAAAATATACATGTCAGAGACATGCTTACAAGCAAACAAAGGAACCATTATCAATGGCAGATTTACCTGAAGGGCCATGGCATAAAGTGGGAACTGTCTTGTTTCATTTGGATAGAAAGGTGGTACTGATGGTTCATTACTATTCTAACTTTCCTGAAATGGTTCATCTGTCCAGTACACCAGCACAGTCAGTCATCACATTCATGAAAGGGTTCTTTGCCAGGCAAGGAATTCCTCTTTGTGTTGACTGAGACATTGGTCCACAATATGGCACCAAGGGGTTTCATGAGCTTGCTGTTTCATATGGATTCCAGCATGTCACCTCCAGTCCATTGTACGCACAGGCTAATGGACAAATTTAAAAAGGAATTCAAATAGTGAAGAGGCTATTTGGAAAAGCTATGGACTTTAACGCTGACTTGTTCTTGGCGCTGCGGAATTATCGAGCTACCTCTCTGAAGAGTGGGAGGTCACAAGCAGAACTCATGAATTGCAAATTTTGTACTACGCTGCTACATCTTCTCAGGAATAGCGATAAACAAGACGTTGGACTGTTGCAATAAGCAGTTGCTGGTCAAGCACAGGCAGAAGCGGTACTATGAAAGAGCGACAAAATATCTGGATCTGCATGGGGATGGAGATGTTGTCAGGGTGAAAGGACCTGACAGCTGGGACAGGAAAGCAATGGTTCTCAGTAAGGTGGGACCCAAGTGTTTTGTTGTTGAGACTGAGAATGGGCAGGTTTTGAGGAGGGACAGGAGTCGGTTAAAGACTTTGGAAACAGATTCTGGTCTGGGTTCAGTCTTTAGGATGTTACTATGGTGGGGGACCAAAGTGAATGTGTTTCTTTGTCCGCACGGATAGACTTGCTAAGAAGGTCTAGTAGACCTAGGAAACCTTCCTAGAAGGCAGACTGTGCAGATGTGAGTGGTAGTTTGGGAGGAATAATGTTTACACTTTGGGTTCAATGTTATGTGGTATAAAAAAGCTGAAATGGAATATATATAAATATAAGTTTATAATGTTTTAATAATAGACAGTGCAAAAAATTATATTCAATATATTGTTTAAGTAGGTTTGAGTTATTGCAATGAGTGTGATATGTTGCATTTTAATCAAGAATGTTGTGTGGATTCAGTTGAAATGTTGAGGGGGGGGGGGGGGGGGGGATAATGATATTGATTTTCAAATGGCATGCAGAAGGCGCTAGACAACAGTACCAGTACAGACAACAGTAGGTGAAGTAAGTGAGCACGAGACCATGGCCCAATCCCAATACTTGCACTTCCCCACTTGCGCCCTTCAATTGTGATATCCTGGCCAGAGGTGTGAGTGGGTAGGGTGTCCCGATCCACACTTCACCCAAGTCTGCCTCGTTGTGGACTTGGGTGAAGGGTATTACCCACCAAGTGCCTTTTGTGACAATATGTATTTTCAAATGAAAGTAGTTGATTTTAGGATGATTTATTTCTCTGAATGTTGTAGACATAGCAGCAATTAATTTAAAAATAATTGTCTAGTTCTTTGTTTGAAAGTTGGTAATAAAGGTTTTGAAAAAAAAAAAAGGTAGCACAGCGACCAGCATCCCGGCATGCATTGCGGTCGATGACTCAATGTTCCCTGTCGCAATTTGGTAGGTACTCGCACACTTGTGTACCACACACTCTAAGCCTTTCTGCGCACTTCCTCCAAGTGGACTTCACAGAAGACCGCAGGGTGCAGTGAGAGTTTTGGGACTGGGCCCATGGGGAGCCTATGGCCAAATCCCAATACTCACACTTCCACCCTTGCACCCTTCAATTGCACGTTCCAGTCAGGGGTGCAAATGTGTAGGCCAGGGTGTCTCGATCCTCAAGTGTGGAAGCTGGCTACACCTCTTTTGCACCCTTGATCTGCACCTTGCTGAAGTCTATATTGATGTGGACTTAGGCGAAGGGTATTACCCATAATTTATTGCTGTGTGGGAATTTTGAGAAGACGGTGGAACAATGGATCAAGTGCCTTTTCTGAAATTATGTATTTTCAAACAAAAAAAGTTAATTTTAAAACTAGTAATGATATTTATTCATGCACGGAATGTTTAGATTAAGATTTAATGTGAACAGCAAAGAATGTAAATTTTGTGATTGGCTCAATAGAGAACAAAGAGCACGATTGGTTCGGAGAACTGTCAGTCAAAGAGCAAGGCGGAAATAAATGTTAAAGTTGTATTTTTGACGTTCTTTTATCCCAAGTTAGGGCTGGGCAATATGGCCTAAAATCAACACCACGATTCATTGAGGATTTCACCTCGATAATAAATGGACGATAACTACAGGTATGCGCAGATTCAAAAGTTGTCCACTAGATGGGGCTGTTACATTTTTACGCAACTCAAGGTGGTGCAGCTTCTTAAAGCGACATGAACGTTGCCAACCTACACACATCTATTCATTTTTTTACTATCAAATTTATTGACATGAGAAAAATCATCTTGATAAGTCAGAAATTTCGATAACAACAAACTTTTGATTTATTGCCCAGCCCTATCCCAAGTTATGTAAAAGTTGCATGGATCTTTTCAAGTTTTATAAAATTCACTTGTTTGTAACCAGGAAATGGGCATTTTAAAATGAAAACAGAGAAAATAAAACCCAAAGGAAAACATGTCACCACTACACTATGGAAACTAGCCAAAAATATTAATAATGAAATTTACCTTTTTAGCTGCTCCGTTCCTGTTATGCATCACTAACTGCATTACATCTGCCATAATTAGCTTATTATAAAAAGGCCATTAAAAAGATGGGTTAATGAAAAAAGTGAAAGAAAAACAGCAGTAAAAACTTAACTGTTGAGTTGTGCAGCAAACATATAAATGACTTCCTTGTTTGTTGAAATGATTACAGATCATCCATTCATTTTCCGAACCTGCTTGTCCACGTAGGGTTGCGGGGGGGCTGGTGCCTATCTCCAGCGGTCAATGGGCAGTCAGGCGGGGTACACCCTGGACAGAGAGCCAGTCCATCGCAGGGCAAAACAGGGACACACAGGACAAACAATCATGCACACACACACACACTCACATCTAAGGACAATTTGGACAGACCAGTCAACCTAACAGTCATGTTTTTGGACTGTGGGAGGAAGCCGGAGTACCCGGAGAGAACCCATGCATGCACAGGGAGAACATGCAAACTCCATGCAGAAAGATCCCAGACCGGGACGCGAACCAGGGACCTTCTTGCTGCAAGGCAACAGCTCTAACCACTGCGCAGCCTGCAACTACAGATCAATGCATTTTTAATAAATCTTGACATAGAGATGCAGCAACAAAAAAAATTTAAAGACAATCTCCACGTTTTCACAAAAGAGGAGCATAAAAGACAAGTTCTGATTGTTTCCAACTTTGATTTTTATTCAGTTAAAACTCTAATCACTTACAATAAAATTCTCATCAATAAATCTGTTTGCACCAATATGCAGACCTGTCTGTGTGAACAGGTTGACCATAGTGACCTACTGATTTTATGACCAGAAGTCTGAGCCATTATTATTTTTATAGTACCCTACTGGCTCATAGACGAAATCCTGAAAAAGGTTTTAGGTAGTTAGGGATGAATATGGGTGGAGGATCTGCACATCCTCTCTGGCAAACTGTTCTGCTATAAAGTTTTTACAAGTTATTTTATTATTTAAAAACAATACAAGCCTAAGTACAGCAAATATTCATCACTAATGTGACCAATATATTGTTTAGACTGTGTTTTAGTCACATTTGCCCCTTAAAGAGAAAATCTGTAAGGGGCAAATACAAAATTATATTATGATCTCCAGTTAAAACAAACAGCAAACTTGCTTAGAATGAAACTGATTATTATGGGTAGTGCAGTGTTGTTGTGAGCTTATTGCTTCTTTTTACATTGTAAACAGAATTTCTGGACATAAAATCTTTCGTCTTACAGCGTTAGAACTGTTGGCCTTAACTAGTTCTAAACACCATTCTTTAATTAATCACATTAAATATTATTTAATAAAACATAAATAGACAGTTCTACAGGCAAAATTAACCATTTTGCACAATAGAAACCAGCATCAGCTCACATTTTCATTCCTTTTGCACACACAAGTAATCCAAAACTCTATTAAAAGACGAACATAGTTAATCTCTATTCAAAGAAGCCTCTTCCCTGAGAAAATCTACTAGTGTTAAAGAAAAAATGTTGCTGGCGCTCTGCAGTCAGAGTCCTGTCTCTGAATGTGTTCTTCCCACTGTTTCTGTAGTGGTGTCACAGTTCCTTCTTTATTTCATACTGACACACGCAGGACTCCCGCTGGCTGTCCAGGTACGGCTTACAACCCAAATGCATGACGGCATCGAAAAGCAGAGTCACTGCTGATTCGCACGCTGCCGGGAAGGAAGAGAGGCAACACATAAACACAATAAACAAATGAAGAGGGTATGTCGTTACTGCTATGGGGTCACAGTCAATAAATCATTAAGCTAATGTTTTGCATGCATTGAAGATTTTGGTACATTTATGTTTTTTAGGGATCCTCTCTGCTATAATATAAAGATAAGCTTCATGTTGAGGTATTTCATAGATCAAATAAGAAACTGAGAATGCAAAATCTCTGTCTCCCTCTTCTGGACACACAGCAGTTTGTTTTCCCCAGTCATGAAAGTGAGGTTAAAATGTACATAGGTGACTTTCAATAAAACCACTGATTATAAATTAAAACTTTTAATATCAAAGGTATAGTCAGATTTATTTCAGGAACATTTTCTGCCATGTTGCCTTGGCGGGGCCTGGGGATCAAACGGCTCACCTTTCGATCAGTGGACAACTGCTCACATATAAAATACAGAAAACATCATTGTATTGGAACACACCAGATCTGTTTCTTACCCTGGACTGTCTGGGACAATCCCAGAGTCCTTTGCACATTCCTGCAGATGGTCTCCAGACACTCCTGGAACTCCTCATCACAATCGTGCTTCTCACGGCTACAAGTGTCATAGCAGCGGTCATGCTGGTTACAGCATTTGGTCATGGATGGAATGCCTATATCAAACTGGAGACAAGAGAACAGCTAATGGTTCATTATTAGTAAAGAATATCCTCTAGACTGACTAAAACCAGAAAATCTCAAAGTATGTAAAGGTTTTTGTATGCAGGCGCACAAACTAGACCAGAATGGGGAGCCTAAGTCTCCTCCCCTTCGGTCAGCCCCCCCAAATAACTGAATGGAAGTGACTGGTGCTATAAAGGTAGCTTAGGAGGTAGAGCGGGTTGTCCAGTAATCAGAAGGTTGTAGGACCGACCCCAGCAGAGAATGCTGCTGTTGTCTTTGGGCAAGAAAATGAACCTACATTGATTTCTGGTGGTTGGAGGGGCCGGAAGCGCCTGTGCTCTGCAGCCCCGCCTCCGTCAGTGCACCCAAGGGCAGCTGAGGCTGCATTGTAGCTCATCACTACAAGGTTGTGAATGTGTATGTGAATGGGTGAATGATCACCATCTCCTTGCTCCCCCACACACTCCAGCATCTCTGAAGAGTTCTCAATGTCTTCTGTCTGAAATGTGTCGGGTCCAGGCTAACTAATCTCCCAACACAGTTAAACTTAAACTCATCTACCTGCTGTCTGGACAACCTGCCAACTAACTTCCTTAAAAATATTTTTAGCTGCTTGAAAGCTGATGCACTGGGTTATGTAACTTGTCTCTATTGGTGATCGCAAATCGAAGCTGATCACCATGACATGTCGGGTCCCCCAAGGCTCAATTCTTGGACCACTGCTCTTCAATCTCTATGTGCTCCCCCTGAATCAGGTCATAAACAACAACAACATTGCCTATCATAGTTGTGCAGATGACACCCAGATCTACCTAGTTTATCACCTATAGTGCAGGGGTATTTAATTCTGGTCCAGGAGGCCTGGTATCCATCACATTTCAGTGGTTGAATCACCTGTGCACCAGCTCATCAGGCTCTGTAGAAGCCTGTTAATTACCTGCTGATTAAAATCAGGTGTGTTGAAAGCAATAAAACTAAAAACGTGTTGGATACTGGGCAGGGCTGCACGATAACAGTGATTAATATCGCAATGGTGATATGACTTTCAATAAATAAACAAAAATCAGAAAGAAAGACGTTAAAAAATTTAATTTGTTGCCCAAATTTCCAAGGATTCTGTCAGAAACGAATTAATCTTTGGAAGTGATCTCAGACCCACAAAAACCTACGGATCTGGATGAAGAGAGTCAACCCTCAACCGCTGCAGCAGTCGAGGGTTTGGCCGCTGGAAATGCTAACACTAACGTTAGCTAACCTTGCAACACTATAGATGGTTTTCTGTGTGGCTGTATGTGTTTATGATTTCATGGAAAAGTCAGCGATTGTTCATATGTTTATGATGTATATTAATGATTGTTTCAGGTGTTGTTGAGGTGTTGTGCACGCACATGTATCTGCTAGTGTTGAAGGTGTTTTAGAGAACAATAGGTACGCATGGCCACTTCCTTCATAGCACCCTCAATAAAAAGACTAGCTCCTTCATAGCACCTGCAGAAAATATTTCTGGAGCCACCACTGGTAAAAACTGCTATTTTTAGCACATTTTTAGGTCCGACGTGTTGCTACCAGACACACAGTGTGAGCTGAAACTGAGTGCTACAAACGAAAAAGTCGCACAGTGTCTGCAGAACATATAGCGGACCTCCGAGTCCGCTTGCAGAAGTGACATTAACATGTGGATGTTTCCTGGTCAGGTGCTGCGGCATGGAGGATGTGGTGTTGTGGTCGGCTAAATCCATTTTACAGTATTTACACTGGACTACGTTTTCCACCTTACAACGTGAAAAATGGTCCCACACCTTAGACATTTTCTGTCTTTTTCGCACTCCACTGGGGTCCACGTTGTCCGCCATCGCTTAAGAGAAAGTTAAGTTATATTCGCTACTTGCGTGTGCATACAGTGCTGTGTGTATGTGACAGTGTGAGCGTCCTGTCACAATGTCCCGATTGATCATGCGCCCTGGCTACTTGGAGAAGGGGGATGTCCCTTTGGCTGACTGGTTAGAGCATATGACTCTCACCCGGGAGTCTGGGGATCGAATCCCGCCCGGGCCCTCGTCTATCCACCTTGCCACATGTATGTGTCACTTATTTCGGTCCGGGTGAAACATGACCCTGGGCAATTGCAAAGCCATGAATGAATTAAACATGAATTAAACGAAGCCTCGAAGCAGAGAATGTGACTCGAGGCTTTTTTGTACTCGAATAATTCGAGGTACTTGAGGAATCGTTTCAGCCCTAGAAAGCACATTGAATTGCCTCTGCGTATGAAATGTGCTATATAAATAAAGCTGCCTTGCCTTAATGCTTCTTCTTTTGCCCTGGAAGAAAGATTCGAAACACGCCAAATGTCTATGGATCGAAAATAACTCCCATTCATTTTTGCCAGTTGGGGACTGGAAGTAAATGTGCGTGCCTGGGCTTCCCATACCTGAATTCCAAAGAGCGGTGAGCCACATCCATTGGGTGGTGGGTTTTTGTACCCAGGACGAGGTACTGGCTTGTACCCTGTGATACAGAAACACAAGTAAACATGTTTTATTGATCTATTACAGATTTTACCTTTCTATGTTAAAGAACCAGGTGATCGAATGATTACTTTCCCCTTAAACAAGATTTTAGAATACATGTAGTTCACAATTTTCCTTTCACTCTTCAAATGTGTGATTATCAGACAGCATGAGGCTACAGGTTAGTTGAGGTAGAGTAGTTTTTATCTTGGCAGGTGCTATATAAAAACAGTTTCTTCTTTCTGGTTCAAGTTGAGAAAGCAAACACACCATCACTACATTTATAATGACACAGCCCGTCATCGCCCCCAAACAAGTCGAGCGCTGCGTTCAAGTACGTGTCGATCTTGTGTATTCCGTTGCGGATAGTTTTCAGAGTCATCCTCCAGTCTGGCGTCTCTGGCTCTGGTTTGCAGGCACAAACATGAGTGAAGAACCCGTAGGAGAGCAAACAAAGCAACAGAAGAACTAAAACGTGGCCAGAAGAGGAGCGAGTCTCCCGACACATTATCGTAACAAAGCCAAGGTAACTCTTAATCCTTGGTTACAGGGACATTTCAGTTTCTAGCCGTAAACTTCGTCCATTCCGCCCCATAACATCTCCGAGGAAATCTGATTCTACTTCCGGGTATGTAGTGGTCACGTGAAGATGATGTCATGAGAAGTTCATCTATGGCCCACGCAAGATCAAATCCAAACACACTATCCAAATCAGATCTAATGATGTTATTGTCGAGTTTGAATGAAATGATAAAATGTTAAGTTTTATAATTAATCTAATGCTTCTTTTAGGGAAATGAAAAAGACTGATTATACGAAACAGTTTTACTAAAGTCTCCAATATTTAAAGGTACATACTTTTTGAGAAATTCTTTCAGTTGTGATGCAGGGTTTTCATTTTTGGTTGAGATGTCGCTCCAAAAACAATAAACTGATCACTGGATACAAGAAAAAATCTCAGCAGTTTACTCATGACAGTTTCAGTACCTTCCAGAATGAACCATTTCAAGGCTATGTCTCTTTAAGAAAACAAGCTGGAGCTGGCCACCCACACCCATCCTTCACTGACCCCGGCTTTCCACGGGAGCCGTCAGCAGCACGTTACTGCAGCAGCACGTCATAGCTGCTGATAGGAACCGCTGTGGTCAACAGAACCTTTTCCACTGGAGCCGTCGGCAGCGCGAGTCGGCCGCGTCTCAGGAGCAGCATGTCGCGGCCTTTACGCGCCGGTTCTATTTTCTACGCGCGACGCCTCTGAAGCGGGTCAAGTTCGACATTTTTGGGGAAGGAAAGACAGGAAATCTGACGCGGAAATGGAGGGAAGCTACCGAGATTTTCAGAATAAAGAACGTGCTGCCTTCCGGTTGCTTTAGTTTAAAAAAGGTTACTAACTGTGCGTCCCTGTGAGAAGTTATCACCTAGCTAGCGGTCTCCTTTGTTTTTCAGGTCCGTATTGGTGATTATAAAACGGACAGAACATAAAACACAAACCATGTTGTAGTTTTCTCCTGCTTGTTGTTGTGTTTACTGACAAAGTCACTCGTGTGACTTCGTGCCCTGTCGGTGACAGCTGCTCCCCTGCTGCTTCGCGTCTCGTGGGAAGGGCCAAGCAGCAGCTTAAGCGAGCAAGACGTGCTGCTGCAGTAACGTGCTGCTGACGGCTCCCGTGGAAACCCGGGGTTAGAACTTCTCACATTAAAGCAACCTAATATCCAGGAGGGGCTCATAGTAGAAACACTGCTCCTCCAACAGCAACTTCTCTCCTGAGTCAGTGGTGGTTATATTCCAATTTCTCCATTTGTGACATCACTGACTTTTTGAAACGGCTCATTTTAGACACATAATTCCTAAAACTGAGCCACTGACAGAAAATGGATGAACATTTGCTTTTCTTATTTTGTGTTAATAGAGGCAGTAGACACACATGGCAGCACAAAAGGATGCTTGCTAATAGGGGAGTTTTGCATATGTTCTCTTTAAAGAGCCACTTGACTCTGGATTACTATTGCAACACATCAGTAAGGTCAAACCAACCTGGCTCAACCTTATAAACCCAGCTCATGTTCCATTAGTGGGCAAATTCTGCATCACAATGACAGGGAGAACCGACACAGGAGGACCAAAAAGCCTGCAAACCCCAAACCTCATTTGGTAGCAAACGTCCAAATTACTTCAATTCCAGAAAGTTGATTTGGCATCAAAATTGCAAATACATGAATTATAAAATTAACATTTGATGCAATTGCAAACCACTTCATCCCCATTTTTCACTGATGCAATATGAACAAACAGATTAATGACAACCTCAGAGAACTTTATTCCAGTGTATGGAACAAATTATACTTTAAATGGTTAGGCGAGCACTGAAGAAAAAAAAAAAACCTCTTTTATATTTAAATAAGTGCATTAAACATTCAAAAATGAAAATGTACAATTTATGAACAATTTCACTGTTTAGCGCCAGTCAGCTTCACATTTCATAGAAGAAATTAAAATGTTTTCCAGTAGCAGCGATGCTCTGTTAATTGTCACATAGAAAATGAGTGGAAAGATAAAACACTCATCTTTTTGTTTTCTTCGTTTGCTCCTTCATGAGATAGATTTGACTCGATGGAATCTGATTCTATATTGATAACAAGCAGAAATGGTATAAAGCGTTTCTGTTTGTTGATCTTCACGAGTGGTTTCAGTAGTGCAGAATGCCTCTTCAGGTCTCACGACAGAAACAAAACGTCTTTACAATCAAGTATCCTTGTTCCCAGAAAAACAAGGAAAGCATAATTAAAATTAAAAAAACAAAAGTCTGGAAGGTTTTTACAGTGTGTAGACTGGCTCTTCACCATATAACAAGATGATTCCCGGGATCAGGCTGAAGTGATAGAGCAGTAATTCACAGGAATGGATGTGAGGGCATTTTCAAACCTAAATGAGGCTAATCTCTTCACATAAGATTTCCTTCAAGTGTAAAGCCTTTTTCTTATTAAAAAAAAAAAAGCCATTTATTTGTATATGTACAATTTTTAAAACGATTCCAATTCATCCGCCTCTGAAGAGGTTATTTAGTCTGTCCAACTCCTTGCAGTTATCCATGGTCATGAGTTCAGCCTTCCTGCGCATCCGGTCGTCCCTGTACACCTTAGCAGCATAAAGCAGGTCTGTTTCTGGATCAGACAGAGAAACAACAGAAGAAACATGAACTTAAGAAACAAGTAACAGACTAAATAACACCTAGCCAGTGTTAACTTACTCGTCTGCCTCTCCTTCCAACAGTTATTTCTAACATTTGTCACATAGTCTTCTTCTACATTTTTCTCAATTTGTTGTACGGCCGAGTATTTAAACTCAGACTTGAAGTCTTGGGTGACGTAGTAGTCAACGCGCAGGTTCTGCGTTTGCCTCTTTACAGTCTGACCCGTGGACCTACAAAAGACACAACAGTTACAATCGGTTGTGTGAAGAAAAAAGTCAATGCAGAGAATTGAAAAATAATGGAAAAAGTAAATTTAACCATAAAAGAAAGCAACTAATCTGATCATGTCTGTTAAAGCTGCAATATCAACTAATTACAGCGTTGCAGTAGTAACTTTGACTGCAGTCACCTGCTCTGCAGTAGTTTGGTACTGTACAAGCAGTAAATAAGTACTAGCTCACATGTCACATGAGGGTTGAAGCGGCGCAGCGAGCGGCTGCGACCCAAAAAGTTCCAGAACCGCTCACGGCAATCAGAGCACCACCTCACCCCTGCCACGTGGACCTCAAGGGACAAACCATCAATCCTGCTCAATGGTCAACTTTCCTCGCGGGGTCACCCATGAAGACAGTGGGAGGGTTAAGAGTCCCAGACGAGTGGTTCCATCCATCTGTTGTGACCTGGAGATAACTAAGACCGGTCTAGTAGTGCCGCAGTTTCTTCTACGGACCTCGGTGCCTGGAAGTCCGAGGACTTCGACATTCCGGATCTATCACGAGGGTCTTCGAGTGGGTATGTAGACAAGACAGATTGCGTCTGATGTGTTTTTGATAATAATCAACCTCATAGCTTAACGCAAACCAAATTCTTTTACATCCAGAATGCAGCTCTCCTAGATACGCAAGTTCTGATAACACCGCATTCACACATAGGTTTCATACATCACGTCTAGTTCCATCCATCACAGTAAATGTTAGTTAACCTGTCATGTTTTAATTGTTAGTAAAAATAAATTCTTACTTTGTAAACCTGACTCTTTTCTGAATCAAAACGAAGTGTGTACAATCCCCTAATAAAACAAATAATCCTAGAACCTTCTGATTAAATACAGTAAAGACCGAGCAGGTTGATATTCTATATTTATATAGAGTATCACAGCTTATTGGTCATAGGTAGAGGTGATATATATTGAGCTCTTAAAGCACTCAATTTCTCAAACCCTACACATGTCCAAGTCAGGTGCCAGCTCCTTAAAGGGTGTACCTGAACATATGATAGGTGTGTTGGTGTCCAGAAGCTGCAAATACAGACAGAACTTTGTATTGCTGCTCTTTGTTTACACTTGTAATTAAAGGTGTTGGTACGTTTGTTCTGTGTTGTTACTCAAATGTCATCATTTGGTTATTTTCTGCACACAGCGTAATCAAGATTTGTTTTTACACTTTTTGCAGACAAGTTTCAGCTAACTCTGTAGCCTTCCTCAGAGCAACGCTGATGTTGGTGGCATCTCTTTGGCCTCTGTTTATCTGGACCCAGGACAATGAACAGGGATGAAACGGTGCACACACTAGACCGTTCATGGGACATGGCCATAGGGGAGGAGGACGCAGGCAGCAGATAAACGAAGACGGAAGTGATGCCACCAACATTGTCATTGCTCTGAGGAAGGGTACAGACTTAGCCAAAAAGCAAAACAAGGTAAAAACCAATCTTTATTATGCTGTGTGCAGAAAAGAACCACATCATGGAACGGACCGGTGTTGAACACTTGTTTAGTCAATACATTTGCAGCTGTCTCTAGTAGGAATTAATGCCATGTCAGTCGTACTCTGGGAGAAAAAAAGCCCAGATGCACTGGTATCAGTGGAGAAAGTAGCTTCAGACAGCAGGTTTTGGAGTCTTATTTCCTGATATTTGACATCTTGCCTAGGATTGGATAAGAGCAACGCGACTCTACCACGACTCAGTTTTCTCTGCAATGTTGATTTATGTCCACACAAAAATCTCTAATGGCAACAGCTTCTACTAGCTGAGACGTTCTCTGCTGTTTGCTGGATGCTAAACCAACAACAGCCTTCTCCATCACGCACCAAGATGGATGAGTGCATGAATGTTAAGGTTAAGTGACAGTGTGACGTAGATCTCTCAGGCTTTTTTAATCCTAGAGTTTCATCGTCTATTTTCTATCAGAAGCTAATGCAGGAGATAGGTGTAGGAGACTATTTTCATGTTCACCCTGCATGAAAAACTCAGAGTGACTCATTATAATCAGAAATAATCATTGAAATAGTTTTAAAGTGATCCCCAGCTTTAAAATGTTGAGGTTCATGCTATTAAATAGTGGCATATGATGATGGTTGTAGCCACAGATCCACGCTGCACACACATCGCTCATAGAAAACAGGTGGAAACGCACTGAATATAAGAATGTTGTTCTTTTTTACATCTACTTTACAAACCAACTTGAGGGACTCATGACTTTGAGGTTCACTGCTGTATGAATTATAAAAGTTGTGTGTGTGTGTACGTACGGTCTAGAATAGAGGCTGTAGGGTGGAGGGGACACCATCATCTGGCTCAGTATTGAAACTACAATCAAGACCACTATTGGCATCAGCTGGATAAACATCGAAAAACCACCCTAAGGAGAAACAGAGGAAAATAAATAAGTTTTTATTTTAATCCTAATAAATGAAGATCAGGTCTGTAACCATCGACGTACATCTCCTCTCTCTTCTGTCCGCTCCTGGCGGTAATCCGTCTGATGGCTGTAGCTCGTCCTGCCGTTGGTGAATGAGTGTGTGCTTGCTGTTGACACAACACTGTGGTTAAAGTTAGAAATGCTACGACTCATCTCCATAAACCAGCTAAAGCAGCTTTAAGCGTGGGTAATAAGATCAAAACAATCATTCAGCTCCACATTATGGAAGAAAAGAAAAAACAATTGGCCCGTACACAAGTTCATAACTAAACCAGCCCAACCCCAAATCTCTGATCTGAGATCGTGTCTCTGTTCATTCAAAACAGTGCACACTCACAGGAGGGGAAACTGCCCCCGAAGAACATGTTGAAGAGGTCCTCAGGTGTGATGTCAGCCTCGAAGCCCCTGTGGAAGTCAAAGCCTCCTCTCTGTGAGTGACTCTGGCTGCTGGGTTCCTCTCCTCCTGTCAGGTCATACTGCTGTCTCTTGTCTGGGCTGCTCAGCACAGCGTAAGCATTCCCAATCTCTGCAGGAAAAATAAAATCCACTTTGATACTTTTCTTTCATTTAAAGCAATTTGATGCAGCATTTAATTCTGACTTCGTGACGTTTTTCCACAGTCTCGTCAGTATGAACCCCCTGCTCGAGGCTCTAGACTGCCCACTATGGAACTTTAGGTGTCAAACTCACAGAAGAAGAAAATCTACAGAAATCTAACTTTTAAAGGCTTCCGTTGCTCCAGGTGCGTGGTTCTTGTCCGGATGGAACTTCAGAGCTAGTTTCCTGTAGGCTTTCTTCAGCTCATCATCATTGGCTTCCTTGTTGACACCAAGAACTTCATAGTAGTCTTTACACCGCTTTATTCTGAAAGACAGGAATAACCAAATGTAGTCGACAGACAGAAAAAGGCTAATCATACAGTTTCTTAGAATAAAATGACGTTTCCTGTAGATCTTCAATAGCGTAACGGTGTTGAACAGGAAGAACTGTTTAATAATAAGCTTCATGTTTATCCTTTAAACAGACTAAAGATGTAGCCTCCTAGGATTGCTAAATATACTTCCATTGCATTTCAGTGCAGTAAAATTATAGCATGCATGGGTTGCCTGGTACCCGCCGTACACTGCTTCTGCCTTCCCCCTCATGGGGAAAGACAAAGATATAGAAGTTCCCATAGTGATGGTTACATGCACACACCTGCAGACACTTCAGTGTGTATGCAAGGTTTGATCTCTTTTAGGAAAACATCAAAAACAGTCCATTAAAGGGATTTTCGCACCAGCCGGTATCAGATCTCACCTTTGCACACCTTCCACTTGGTCCTGAGAGAAGCCTTTAGTCGCTTCATGTGCAACACTTTCTCCGTTCCCTCCTTCTGAGTTGACACCAGTTGTTCCTGCATGTCCTGCTGCTCTCCTGCAATGTGCTCTGTTACCCGCCGAGCTCCCGTTTCTCATCAAAGCCTCCAGCAAAGCTGAGCAGAAAAAATATATAGTGTCACCTCAAAACGGTTATGGGCAAGTGGAATCTTTTAACAAACTTCCTTAAATGAGAAGAAATATTGACTGTTGACACAAAAAAAAAAGGCTCACGCAGAATTTTGAGATCTTGCCATGTAGTGCATGGCACACTAATGGAAAAGTTTAATAAAATCATGTGATGTGACTCGGGAGCAGAGTATCGCCAGACAGCTTTCAAATGACTGGAAAAAAAACAAACAACAAAAAAAAAGTTCTTCTTTAAATCCTTAGCAGCACTTTGATAGGCTAGCTGCTCACCCACAACAATCATGTCTTTGTGTTGCTCTCATGTGTTCAAGAAACGGTCAAATCCATGAAAGGAAAAACAGTTTCACACATGATCCATGTGACAGGTCCGAACAGAGCCTGCTAACTACTCGCATAAACTGGCACCTATCTGAAGTGTAACCTGGATTAAAAATAACAGATTCCTCAGTGGTTGTTATGAGTGAGTTTTGATCAGTCAGTTAATGATTTCCTACTATATCTATATTTAACATAGAAATAAAGTCTGTCACAACAGCTAACCCCAAAATTCCACTACCTCTGCTCCGCTCCGCCCCCGCCTTCTGCAGCCGCTCGCTTCCGAACTCAATTTTTACTGGTACCCGCTCTACAACGGCTCCGCTCCGGTGCGGAGACCTGAGGTGCGCAAACAGGCATGCGCGGGATTTTCGAGATCTTGCGATACAGTCCGAGCAATAAACACCCGTTGTGTGGGAGAAGCATCGAACTGAACTGTTTAATCTGCCCATCATTTGTGTTGAGAGATCAGCAGTGTTTGGATCAACAAAGTGTGACCACTTTGATAGTGGAAACTGTATTTATGGCTTACTTTTGTGCATTTAAAGTTCAGCCGCTATTGATAGTTGTTAAAAGTTGTTAAACCTGTGCATATGAAACAAAAAACGCTTTTTGTTTATCAATTTATTGTGAAATAACGGAAGTTGTGCTTGCTCCCTTTCCTGTTGGGCGGTTGTGATTCCTGTCCATTGACTGCGGAGGTGCTCCGGCGTCCGGCAAAAATAGAATCGATCCTATTTTTGCCAGATGGCGGAACGGCGGGCGGTGCACTGCGCTGCATGGCCGCAGTAGTGGAACAGCTCTGATTGACAACAACGGGACCGATTTTGCTGCGGAATTCGTGCCGGAGCGGAGCGGAGGTAGTGGAATTTTGGGGTAAATGCTCCAAATTATTTAATTCAGGTTTTATATTTACATTTACCATCATCAGATAATCAGAAATATTAAAGGTCATACAACAACATGATAGTTGTAATGACATCATTGGTTACTTTTGTCTTAGTCATTGTAGTTGTCAGAAAGGTAACACTGATCCTTTTTTCCAATCCAATGATGATCTGGAATCCTCCTTGTGCAAGATGTCATTTTGTTCCACATCTTAAAAATATCATCTTTACCTGATTAGTGTTAGGGGTAGATAATTGACACCCAACAAACTGGGAGCCAATGTAGCTACAAGCTTTATTTGTAGTATATTTTACTACACTGTTGAAGTTCCTTCCGAATCCCCCCAAAAACGGCTCATGCTTATTATTTTTTATACATCTTTAACTTAAATCTCTCATTTGTACCACACTTTTTTTACAGTGTACTTGCTGGGCATGTTACACGTTTTAATCTAAAAGACAACCATACTTCTCAATCTGATGTTATCATAAAACTTGCTAGAGTAAACAGTTCATTATGAGAGATGAAACAGAAAAATCCTTAGACTTTGATCTGAACTACTCGTATACCTCACTGAAGAAAAATCAAAAACACAAAAAGGGAATGCAGTATTTCCTTATGCAGTGACAGCTTAACCAACCAATCTGTTAACACACACACACACACACACACACACACACACACACACGCACACACGCACACGCACACGCACACGCACACACACACACTTGAGTTAACACATGACAGCTTTACAGATGATTATTAACTGGTCTCCATGAACTAGCTGACCGACCCTAAAATGTAATCGATCACAGAATCTCTGAACTACACTCCAGCCGTCAGCAGCAAATTTCTGGCATCTCGTTCCTCCGGGATAAGCTAATCATTCAATTAAAGGATTGGCTTTCGACCTACATTTTCCCTCCAATCACCAGTTGCCAAAACCCTAACAAATCCTCCTAAGCCACATATTTTACGTGAAGTGAATGCACCCCCCCCCCCCCCCCCCCTCCAGCTTATTATCATGGTTTGATTAAAGCTAGCTCCAACATTAGCATTGCGTCAACTGAATGAACAGGCCGGTCTTAACAGACACGCATTCGCATTTGAACCAACCAGTTGTCACCCTAATGCACATTACACATAATAACATTCATAACTAACAGCGTTTAGCTTAACAGAAATATAAAACCTGTCTCAATTTATGTAGCGAAGTTCAAGCTAGTAGCTCTCGGTCCAACAGCCTAGCTAACAATACTTTAATTTCTCACCCACTTTAAGTAGCTGTACACGTATCTATGGTCGTTATGCTCAACTCAAAAGCAGAGCTATGATACCTCACTGATACGAAACATCAGCTAAAATGCTAACACCTGATGGCTCTCATATAAAGGATTCGCCAAAGCTAAAAAGAGACACACGGTTTAACCACAAACAGCGTTACCCTTGGCTCTGGGGGTTGGATACAACTTCTCTGCTTTGATGAGGAACTTTAGAGCTTTGTCCTTTTCTCCGGCTTCGAAGGCTCTCGTCGCTATACTAATACATTTCTCAGCTTCGTCTCTGTTCCCGTCCATCTTCTTTTTTCCTCTTCCTCCTCCAGCAGTCAGCTGAGCGGCTGTACCACGTGGTCAGCAGCGCGGCCTGTCAGTTACAGGTATTTGGCAAACCCATTTATCATATAAGACAGAATATAAAAAAGAAGTCCAAATTTATTCTGTTTTTCATAGGCATAACACTTTTTATGGCAAACATATACCAAATAACGTCTCTACCTATCCATCTATCTAATTTCACTTTACATGAGCGAGGAGGTGAAATGTCGCCCTCCACGGGCGACAAGCTATAACTACACTTTGGCTCTGTTAAACCACTTAGGAAAGAATGGGTAATTGAAATTTAGCGCCACATAGTGGCGATTTTTCAATGAAGCTGAAAAATAAAACCCTACCACCAGAAGGCAAAGCATCTTGCCCATAGACTGCCACAGACTGAGTAGGACACAAACCTGCAACCTTCTGATTACAAGGTGGATAATATGGTCCTTTGCCAACATCACCACTTGTTATCTATTATATAATTAGAAGGTAAATTATTTCAAGTTAAATTGTAAATTTCAAAATAAGACTTTAAGCTGGACTTGTTGGTAAATGTGCCTTTATTCACACTTACAAGTATTTTAGGTTCAAGATAAAAATCTGCTCATAAAATAGACCCACATGCAGGAAATCCAGGAGGCAGCCAGGTAGATTTAAAATGTCCAAAAGTTGTATTTAAAGACTGTGGAGCACGAGCACACAAACACAAGGAACCAGCAATGAGCAGAGGCCTGAACTGGGTTTAAATAGACTGAGGCAGTGATGAGGACACTGCCTCAGTCTATACTAGAACTAAATGCTGCAGGAATACACTAACAGATGACTAAATCAAACATAGGACTGGACTTAGGGAACAGAACAAAAATAAATTAGAAACCATAACGACAACTGAACTAGAACGCTGGGAGAATAACCTAAACCATGAATAGGGAACCCATCCATCCATTTTCTTTACCCACAGCCACACAGAATATTGGTCATAAAATGCAAAAAAAATAAATAAAATAAAAATAAATATTAACAAAACCTATATTTTTGTTAGCATTACTCTCAGGTTTGATCCTCAAATGAATTCCCATTCAAGTATTTTAAAAGAAATTTCAGATGAGGATTTCAACTTGATGGTCTGATCTGTAAACCAGCTGCAGAGAGTTGAGAGTGTTCTCTCAGTTTTTCTTCAAGCTGGTGTTCGCGATGGAGGAAGTTTTGCTGTAAACGAGCCCATGGTGTTGAGAGCTGCATGGATGCGGAAGTGCAACCTGGACTCCATGCTGTAGTCTCTGTAGTTCATCCTGTAAAATAACAATCCTTCATTAGATCCCTCAGATAAGAGTTTGACTGATCTTCGGTTGGACACACTCACTTGGCTTTTTCAATAACTGTGATGGCTGTTCGGACGTCCCCTTTCTGCTTGTGCAATAAACCCAACTCATACATGGTGAAAGGCACCAGGTAGGTGTCACCCTTGATGTTCTTCTCACTGAAGACACATTGGAGTTAGAAAAAGTTCAGAAAGTTTATTTTGAAACAAACACTGGAACAAAATGTATAAATAGATGTGCAACGCTTCTGGGATTCAATGAAAATAGATTATTTTTCTCTATTCAAAATCTGGTATAAAGCCTTAAAGCTGGGCTCCGTAGCGTGATGTCATCAAGGACAGAACATTTTGATAGCTGAATGGCTTTAACTTCTGTCTCTGCTCCCCCATGGCCGAACCCTCCGTGCCATCATCTGTATAGGTTTCTGAAAAGCTGAATTGAAGCCCAGTGGACGCATGATGCTGCTGGGAACTCCCAGCAGCATCATGCGTCTCGCCACTCCTGGAAAATACAAAATTGGAACTGAGAGCAGGGCGGTGAGGGTGGGGGTAGATTATTGACACCCAACAAACTGGGAGCCAATGTAGCCACAAGCTAACCAAAGCTAATGGAGATTGTGGGCACTTTTAGCCAGAAAATCACAGTTGAGCGACTCTGCTACCCTTTGCCTAGCCGTTAGCACTGACAGCTTATTTGCTACCTGTCAATCAAAATGACGCACCCCTAATTATTCCTAACTTCAAGCTTTAATTACACCTCAAAAGATATAATGAATTAATTGGGAAACATTTATAAACAATAAGCTAAACTAAAACTCAAATGCTATTTGCATCTGGTCTAATGCAGGGCTATTCAATTCTGGGCCTCGAGGGCTGGTATCCAGCATGTTTTACTGGTTTATCTGCTCCAACACACTTGATTCAGTGGTTGAATCACCTGTGCAGCAGCTCATCAGGCTCTGTAGAAGCCTGTTAATCACCTGCTGATTGAAATCAGGTGTGTTGAAGCTGGGTTAAAACCAAAAAGTACTGGATACTGGCCCTCGAGGCCTGGAATTGAATAGCCCTGGTCTAATGTATCAGTTAGCATACTAGTGTACATTTTCTGATCCTCTCCCTTCAAAAAGAGGACATATTGGGTTAAACTCACCTGGAAATGACGTAATTGAAACAGATCTCTGCCTGGACAAGGCGTCCCAGCTGTGTTAGACACAAACCCTTCAACAGCTGCACAACACACTGATCATCCAGCTGGTACTCGGATGGAGCTGCACATCATCACACACACTTTCAGCTCCACTTTTGTAAAGATTTTTTTTAGGCTTGAGATTTTCTTCTTTTTCTCACCTGGATTGTTTCTTAGCTGCTCTTCTGCCTTCTCTAGAGTGGATAAGATATTTTCAGTCAGCTCAGGCCTTTTGCCGACAACAGTGAAGCCGTTCCACACATACATCATTTCCTGTGATAGAGATGCTTGAGATTTTAATCAAAAACACTGAGCCTCTCAGGCTCAAAATAACGTTTTGATAAAAGGATGAACTACTAAGTCCTTCAGGGGTACTTCTGAGTTAAAAAGTGCTCATGAAATACGTATGTGGAGTAACCAGGTAGGTAGGTTTTAATGTAGCAAATCTGCAACGCCTGCCTCCAGAGGGATAAACAAATTAAAAAATAGTGGGATTTGATGATTGTGCACACGTTCTCACCAAAGCAGGGACGACAAGTTTCCCAGGGATCGGAGCGATGTATCTCTGGGCCTTTTTTGCAGCAAACTTTTCTGTTGGAATTGATTTTCCTGCAATTCTTATCCTGAGACCCTCCACCTGCCTGCAGACCACGTTTGATTTAGTTTGTGTATGATTGCACGCCTACAGATCGGACGATTTCTTTACACACCTGAATAAAGCTACCACATTTTCTCCCAGTTTTGTCACTTCTTCCTCTGGAAGCATGCTGAGGATGGCAGCTTTCTGGAACACATAGGTAGCCTATTTGAGAAAATATCAAAAACTTGCATTAGCAGAAAGAATAAAAAGAGTTTATGCAACCAAACATTCCTGAAGTCACCTGGGACCAATTGTTCTCCTTGCAGAGCCGGTCGGCGTATCGATACGCCTCCATCCAGTTTTGTTCGAAAGAGTAGGCCCACATCAGCTCCCAGTAGCACAGGTGGTGAATCTGACGCCACTCCTCCTGGGTTGCAATGCATGCCAGGAACTTCTCCTGAGCCTGCAGAAAAGTCCAAGCTCATCAGCATTTAGCATGAGCATAAATGAAGAAAAGAAGACATGGATTACTCACAAATGTGAAGTTCCCTTTGAGTACAGCGATCCTCGCAGTGTAGAAAAGCATGAGGGCTCCCTGTGGACAGAATGATCTCTGAACAATCAAGTTTCGATGACAGGGAAATCGAAGGGAATATCTCCATGGTCACGGCTTACATTAGGGTATTTATCAGCGTATGGTTTTAGCAGAGATTCAGCTTCAGAGAGGTTTCCATCAGCAGTCCCTGAGGAAAGAAACCAAGACATGTTTCACACTTACACAACCTAATCAGAAACATTGCCTAAAAGATCTGGGTGCATTCTGCTCACCGAGTGTCACTGTGATGTAGAGATGAAACATCAGCAGGGTCAGAGTGCTGAGGATGGAGCGAAGGCTGTTGCTCATTGCTCCAGCCCTCAGCTCCGATAAACCCAGATCCTGTAAAAACCGTGTGCACGCCGTGAGTCAAAGCCCCCGGCACTGATGCTAAATCACGACTAGTCGTGTGATTTTGCCTACCCTGTTTCCAGAGAAGCCAAGAAACTCCATCAGTCTGAGGACTCTGGATGGAAGCAGGGACAATATCTGATAGCACACCAACAAAGATGATGGATTTGTCCTTCACTTGGACATCTTTGCAGGAATCTGCCGTTAAAACGTCCTTCTTACCAGGTTGAACGATCCAATGCCCATGTTGACCCCACCTTGAAAGTGAACATGTGTACTCCTCTGTGTTTCCTCATTACACGTGGCATTTTCCATGTCCTGGCAGTTCCTGGTTTAGAAATCAGTTTTATTATACACTTCAGTTTCTTAACGCTTTCATCCCATATGTGATAATTACAGCACGGCTGTGCCCCAAAGCCTCTTACTTGTAAATCTGATAACTGCTCCTCATTCCCATCCCTGCTTTGATGAAGCTGATTATGCTTTCATCCAGAAATGTCAGAGCGGCTTTCTGCATCAGAACTTCCGCGTAGCAAAGCTCTGCGTGCATCTCCTCTGTCCGCATGCGCCGCAAATGCATCAAGTGAGAGGGGACAAGGTCAAATGTGTCTAGCTTAGATTATACTGAAATACCATCCCATAATATAGCTTTAGGAAACTGGACATTTTGTCTTCCACTCACCTTCTGTCAGATTATCAGCTGCCTGTCCGTACCACAGGTTAGCCAAGCTCTCCATTATGCTGGTTTTCCTTCGAAATCTTAAAAAAAAGAAAAATAATAATGAACAAGTAAAGTTACTTAATAACAGACTGCAATTCATTATCTCACACTCTTCAAAATAAGAATTTTCTAAAATAATCTATTTGCTAACATGATGATATAATAAATGTGTTCACTGCGTTACTTTTTAAATGGTAAAACTCGTCAGTTACATCAAAACTTTGACAAGAAGAGTTCAAAACTGAGCTTTGGGTTCATGAGAAGCATTTGTTTATAATTATTTAGCTTGTCTAGAATTTTGATTTTAGAATAATGTAATAAGTCACTTCCTGTATTCATTACTCTGTTCTACATTCACGGCTTTTAGTAGAATAGTTTAACACTATGTCAAATGAAATGTCAAACCTTTTTTTAATCTATTTGCACGAAAATCCTTTTATGTTTACTAAGTTTTTTTATCTTTGGCATTTCTGGCTGAAGTTATGACTTTTTTAAAACTATAATTAGCTTAATATTGTGTAATTCTTTATTTTACAATATGGATTATGGATATACTGAAACTAATTAAATTATCATGATAATCTAGATAAAAGTGAAAAATAAAATGATGGACGGATGCTTAGTTGAGCGGTACCTCTGGCAGACGTGCAGAGCTTCTCTAAGGGACATCATGGCATTATCCATGTCCTTTGGGTCAAAGGTCATAGCAGCCTGCATTAACAAGATGCTGCTGTACCCCATTGCATGATACATACTGTGGCTCTTCCTGATGGGCAGAAAAGAAAACTTTGTTAAAAGCTAAAAGATAAACACGTTTTGCACAAGTCTTTTTATTTTATTTTTTTATTTTTGGACACATCCACTCAAATTTTAAGATCTGAAACTAAACTGATCTCAAATCAGATTGTTGGATCTTTCTCTCTGAAGTCAAAATCAACCATAATCACTGGATTTTGGTCAAGTTGTTAGAGACACACACATAATATACGTAGAGGCCCTTGGACTGGCGCTGCCTATTGGAGCTGCTGTAGTGGCCAGCCTCCATCTTGGATTAGTCTCCATTCGCCGCCAGTGTATTTATCTCTACTGAGGAATGCGTTTACCCAAATAAAAAGCATCTTTTATTACACTTTTTCAAAAAATCAGACTTATATTTTGGCATGATAGTTAAAATATAAATATAATTACATAAAATAAATAAAGAAACTTCAAATGTAAAATCCCAACAGGTAGGCTAGAAAAGTCTCAGAAAAGTCCCACGTGATCTGCCGGTCGATGCAACCGCACGCTGCACAAAAAACTGCGTTGACTCCAGTTGGGTTTGAAGAGTGAGGGACCAACGCCCAATGGGGCATCTATGTATTCATGTCTACGGTTAGAGAGCCCTGTATGCTAAATACCAACACAATCGTAACACGACTGGCAGTCCAACAATCATCATAATGGCAGAAGGTTAAAACAATCAAATGAAAGAAAATATAAAGAGGTTTTTATTTAATCAGTGCTTCTGTGACTTACCAAGGCTCCAACTTAGCCAGAGCATCGGAAAACCTGTTGTTCAAGAAAAGATGGAGGGCAACTGTGCATTCCTGCAGAGCCGTCTCCAAGTCCAAGCCAGGGGTTCTGAATCAGGACAGAGACACTATGAGTTCATTATACCTCATTCAAATGGATGTAAATGTTGACGTGAGGACACGTGGTTTGTCACAATTTCTAGATAGTGACCTCTATCGCCGTAGGCAACACAAAGTCTACTCACGTTTCATCTTCACTGATATGATCTGGATTCACCTTAGAAAAAAACAATTAATCCTTTTTTTAATTTAAACTTTCCAAAATATGCCATGCTATGGCCCAAGGACAGCTTGAATTGCACATAATGAAGTAGAATGTAAGGATGAGTCCAAACCTAGACCTCTGATGCTTAAACAAAGTGTAGGATTTTCATACTTCACATCAATTTCACCATCACAGAGAAAGGAGAGTGCTGTTTTGGTGTAGAGCCACTAAAATCTGTAGCTTTGTGAATCAATTCATCTCTTCAAAGAGAGACTCTTATTATATAGATTCATTCCACATATAGTTGAATGTTTGAAGCCTTTATTTCTAGTGTATTTGATGATCACAGCCTAATAATATTGAAAAGATCTAATTCAGCGTCTCTGAAAATTAGAATATTGTGAAAAAGTGAAACTCGTGGTGTAACACCGTAATTGGCTGATCATCTCAGAACACCTGCAGCAGGTTTCCTGAGCCTCAAAACGGTTTCAGACTGGGTCAGAAGGACACTAATGAGGAAGACTGCTGACTGGACAGATGTTCAGAAGACAGGCATGGACACAGTCCACAAGGAGTGGACTGAGACTGGAGTCAGAGCATGGAGCAAAGAGGAATCTTGTCAAGGCACTACTGAACTAGTGACAACATGGAAGCATCTGACCTGCGAGACAAAGAACTGGAGCGCTGCTCAGTGGTCCAAAGTACTTTTCAGGTCACTTGGAAATCAAGCTCCTAGAGTCTAGAGGAAAAGTGGAGAAGCTAAGGATCCATGTTGCTTCAAGACAAGAGGGAAGTTTCCACAGTCCCTGATCTGCTGGTGTTCCACCATGTTTCCTTAAGTCCACCGTCAACACAGACATCCACCAGGACATTTCAGAGCTTATCATGCTTCCCTTTGCTGAAAAGCTTTACGGAGACGCTGGTATCCTTTTCCAGCAGGATTTTGCATCTGCCACACTTCCAAAGAAAGCTGGTTTGATGGTGCTACTGGGCTCGACTGGCCAGAAAACTACCCTGACCTGAAACCCCCATAGAGAGAATCTGATAACTGCTGATGAAGAAGATAATCTGATAAAGAAGAGGATGAGGGACAGCAGACCCAACAACGTAATCAACCTGAAGATCGCTATCAAATCAACCTGGGTTTCCATAACACCTCAGCAGAGTCACAGGCTGATGGGTTAGGCTAACCCTAACCCGGGCTGATGGCCTCCATGCTGCATTGATGCAGAATTCATGCAAAAGGTCGGTCCAACCAAGTGTTGAGTGCATAATTGAAAATACTTTTAATACGTTTGACATTTTTGTTTGAAATATTCTTTTTAAAAGTTATTCTTATGTGATCTAATTTAATTAGATGTTGATTTTGGGGTTTTCATTGTCTGAAAACTATGTAAACCATTTCTGTTGTAATGTGCTGTAGATACATTAGAAGTGTTAAAATGATGCAAAACTTTTTAAGCGGTTTTGGAAAAGGCTAAACGAGTAAGAGCAAAAATGCACATTCATTTTAAGATAACAGCAGGTGCACCAAAAATGTGTTCAAGTAGCACCGTGGTGTTTCGAGAGCCGCTCTTCTGGTGGGAATTCAATGAAAGACAGTTCCAGACACAGGAAAAAAGCCAGCAACAAGAATGTGCCCCCTAGTATACCTGCTGCAGCATCTAGGAAACGTAGCATTTGTTGAGATTTGACTGTTTTTGTGTGACTTTTCAGCCTGTAGAATGAATTGCATTGAAAAAGTTTTTAGCCTTTTAATGAACTTCTTGTATAAACTATACGTTAAAATTTCAGTGTGCATTTTGCTAAGGGTTTGTAATCATTCAGTAAATCTATCTGCTCCAAAGAAAACAAATAATCAGGACTTACCCTTTGGAATGAATCGTTTTTCACCTCCATTTAGAATCTGATAAAGAGGTCTAACTACCTTATGGAGCTTTTCTCTGCAAAACCTATGGTGACAGTGTTCTCCAACGGTAGTTGCTCAGATTTATACTCTGAGGAGTCAGGAGTGGTCTGTTAAAGGCTCGGCCCACAAGTCATAAGTTCAAAAGAACAGTTTTCTTCCTAAAAGTCCTGTAGCTTCTGCCTGTAACTACTAAGCAGTGAGACATGAAAATCAACCATTAACCACAAAACTTAATTATATCTGGATGTTTATAAAAACAGTGTGTTTTTTTTCTGGCTGAAATTTGTAGAGTTTTTAATTAAAATCCAGTTTGGTGAATTTTCTGTATTATAATGTTTTGCACACAAATGATCCAATGAGGCTAAAATGTCATCTGATCAATGTCATAACACAAAGATCACCAAAATGAGTTTTGCACACACCAGGCAAAATTAAACCTGTATTATTTTACATTTTAAAATTATGCAAACAGATGTCCCTCTTTGAGTCAAACTTTGATGTATTGGCTCAAAAAGGGGACAGGGTTGGTAGAGGAGTCACAACCAGAGGGGTGCGGGATCGAGTTCCGCTCAGTCTGTTGTTGTGTCCTTGGGCCAAACACTTAACCCATGTCGCCTGCTGGTGGTGGTTAGAGGGGCCGGTGGCACCTGTGTTCAGCGACCTCTCCCCAGGGCAGCTGTGGCTACACTGCAGCTTATTATCACCAGTGTGTGAATGTGTGGTTGAATGACTGGATGTGTTTGTTGTAAAGCACCTTGGGGGGTTGTAGAGTTGCTATGCATATAAAAGCCATTTAAAACAGAAAACGTAAAGGTTAAAACTCATTTCAGAACATAGCTGATTTTTTGAGACCTGAAGTTTTTACTTAGATCAACAAAAATAACAGAAACTACACAAACCGCACACCCCAAAATATCAAAGATTTTCAGTTATATTTTCAATCCTGTGCTCCTGTGACCTGACACGCTTCACTGTGACCCCTCTGAACATTCACTACAGCCATAGAATTGATTTACTGTGCTTAGCATAACTTATGTTTCATTTTAGAGTCTGCAAACATGAACATTTAACTGCTAATCTTGATTGGGGTTCACATCAGGACTCTGTGCTGTTGTTGTTGTGGGAAAGGAAGTCATGCTCTGAATTCCTAATTAGCAGATTAATTCTGGCTTCATCATCTGATGTGAGATGGTTTTGATGGGTGGCTGTTCACTCAACCAGCTAGGCTTTATTCCTTTTTCTGTCATCTTAATCCAATTGATTACTGCAGCACTTTTCTTTTGCTTGATTTAGACCTACTACTATTACTGGAACTCTTAAAAATGAACTGTGAGGGTTGGCAAAAGATGAATGAAATGACAAAAAGGTTGTAAAACAATTTCACTGTTTTGATCTCAATAACTTTCTAATGTACAACCGACCCCTGTGTATCCCAAAATGTCAGTGAATCCCAATTTAATTTATTTTTTTAATGTTTAGGATTATGAAAGTTTTTTTCATATGCTTAAGTTTTGAGATACATTCAGGTGGGAGGTAGAAGAGAAAAATATAACCATGTGTCATCAGAGGGCAAGTATTACCCAAGTACTATAAGAGTGAGCTTTAGGTAGATGATTTTACATCATTTCTGCACACATGTGATACGTCAGCCTTAATAATTATCTCTGGTGGTTTTGAAATTTCTCTTACAGAACTTTTCTTGTTCAAGTTTCTTAGAGACCATCCAAATCCAGTGTTACTAGTTCTACCACTGTGAAAGGATATTTCTATTCTATTCTACTAGGGATGGACAATATATCGGCATCAATATCGGTATCGGCCGATGTAGTAATTTTTTAATATATCGGTATCATTTTGATAAGTAAAACCGGGCAGATATTAACAACCAATATTTTTTCCATCTCATCTCCGTTTGTTTCCGTGTTTCAGAAGGTGAGGGGGGTGATGTGTAATTGTTAAGTCATGTGAACAGCGAATGAAATCATCTCAGAACCGTAAATGTATGTGTTGTGTTTACATAATAACGTACATTCAGCTTTAATAATTTTCATTCTATACAAAATCTGCAGATTTTAGAAGCATTAATGTCAGTATATCGGTATCGGCAAATATCGGTTATCGGCCATAACAGTGATCTTAGTATTGGATATCGGCATCGGCCCAAAAATTTCATATTGGTGCATCACTATATTCTACAGGTGCTGGGCATAAAGTCAGAATATCATGAAAAAGTTGATTTACTTCAGTAATTTAATTCAAAAAATGAAACTTGTTAGATTCATTCATTGCACACAGATTGATATTCAAATGTTTAATTCTTTAATTTTAATAATTATAACTGAGAACTAATAAAAATCTCAAATTCTGTATCTCAAAATATTAGAAAATTGTGAAAAGGTTCAATATTAAAGACCCCTGGTGCCACACTCGGGATGTCCCGATACATCTTTTTCACTTCAGATACGTTTCCGATATCGATACCGATATTGCAGCCTTCAGTATTGACCGATACCGATATCAATCCAATACTATATCAGCACAAATCCTACATACTTTTACTTATTTCATAGCGTGGAATGTATGAAAGGCTTGATCAGGTGATATTATTCAAACAGTAAGTATAAAAACTGACTAATTTACTATTAACCTTTGGTTGCAGAAATGTGAACAGCTGAGGTTAGGGAAAAAAAAAACTATTGTTCACTGACCAACTGCTACAAATTGACTGTTTAAAGTTTCAATTTCACACACTGAGAATCCTCATGCAATGTTTTGTGATTCTGCTTCAAATGCACAATGAGGTTGGATGTATTAAACTTCCCCAGTTTTGTTCCACCACGGGAAACTTGTACATGACAAGTGTTGCAATGAGCCAAACTATCTTTTTCAGACTTTAACGAAAAATACAGCCACATGGCCGACATTGTTCCTTGCTACTTTGCTAGCACACACTGTTCTGATCACGTGGAGTTTGCATGCTGGATCTGGGCACTGATGGATAGAATCGCTGGAATGGAATTTAAAGTGGAACGTCCTGCTTATATCAGAGATTTGGATGCAGTCCGATATAATCCAATACAGTGCTTTTAGGCTGGTATCTGATATCAATATCGGAACGGGACATCTCTATGCCACACACTAATCAGCTAATTAACTCAAAACACCTGCAAAAGCCTTTAAATTGTCTCTCAGTCTAGTTCTGTAGGCTACACGGTCATGGGGAAGACTGCTGACCTGACATTTGACCAAAAAATGAATTAATAGAGAGGTGAAGGGAAGGACGAGATGTGGTAGAAAAAGTGTACAAGCACTAGAGATAACCACACCATAGAGAGGATTGTGAAACAAAACCCATTCAAAAATGTGGGGGAGATTCACCAAGAGTGGACTGCATCCAGAGTCAGTGCTTCAAGAACCACCACACACACACGTATGAGAGACATGACTTTCAGCTGTCACATTCCTTGTGCCAAACCTCTCTTGAACAAGAGACAGCGTCAGAAGCATCTCACCTGGGCTAAAGACAAAAAGGACTGAACTGCTGCTGAGTCCAAAGTTATGTTCTCTGAGGAAAGTAAATTTAGCATTTCCTTTGGAATTCATGGTCCCAGAGTCTGGAGGAAGAGAGGAGAGGCACAGAATCCATGTTGCTTGAGGTCCAGTGTAAAGTTTCTACAGTCAGTGATGGTCTGCGGTGTTTGTGTTTTCTGAGGTCCAAGGTCAGCCATTAACCCTTTGATGCATGAATTATGAAATCTTCAACCATGAGATTTTTAACAATTTTTTCATTCATCTTTAGGTGCAACAAATTTCCACAAACATTTTTGTAACATTTAATAATTTACTAATAACTTATTACATGTCCACCTCAGTGGACAGCGTGCATTCTGAACATGAAATATGTTGGCTTGACTTACTGAAGTCCAAATGAAGGGGCTCGAATGCAATAAAGTCTTCAACAGCTGTGCTTAATAGCATACATAAATAAATAACAATTTTGAGTACCTGTCTACTGTAGTGACCATTATGCATCAAAGGGTTAACCAGGGAGTTTTAGAGCACTTCGTGCTTCTTGCTGCTGACCAACTTTATGGAGATGCAGATTTCACTTTCCAACAGGACTTGGCAAGTGCACACAGTGCTAAAGCTACCATTACCTGATTTAATGGCCTTGATATCCCTGTTCTTGATTGGCCAGCAAACTGGCCTGAATTTAATCTTGAAGAGAAAGATGCAATATGCCAGACCCAACAATTCAGAAGAGCTGAAGGCCACTATAAGAGCAACAAGGTCTCTCATAGAAGTACCACATCAACGCCATGCCATGCCATATTGCTGCAGTAATCCAGGCCTAAGGAGTCCCAACAAAATACTGAGTGCTGTACGTGCTCATACTTGTCTGTTGGCCAACATTTCTAAAATTACTTTTTTACATTGGTCTTAATTGATGATCTAATTTTCTTAGATACTGAATTTGGGATTTTCATTAGCTGTCAGGTATAATCATCAAAATGAAAAGAAATAAACATTTGAAATATATCAGTCTGTGTGTAATGAATGAGTCTAATATACAAGTTTCACGTTTAGAATGGAATTACAGAAATACATCAACTTTGTCATGATATTCTAATTTTATGACCAGCATCTGTATTCTATTCCATTCTCTTGACTAAACTAAATGCAGTATACCAGTGGTTATACCTGCGGATTTATGGCCAGCCTTATCATTTAGCTTATTTTGAAACTATGAGAATGTAACGCCAACCTGTAATAGCTTTGCTTCAACAGACTAACATCGTATATGTCTGTTTCGTGTGTGTATACATATATGTATGTGTACATTGAGAATGTGGACTAAAGGCATCTAAGCGTACATTTATTTGTGATGTGTCACGGCAGGACTTTTTTTCAAAACGTTGTTATTAATTTTTTGATGTGAGTTGCCTATTGACTCTGCTTCTTGTTCTTTATTTGATCGAAAACTAGTTGTCCCATCTCAAGCGGTTTTTATCCTCTTAAAACACAAGTTGTTAAATTGAAAGAAATATTTCATTTTTCATGTATAAATATTATTCCTAAATTATTATTTATTTATTTTGGACAGTTTAGGAGACTGCAGTGAAGACAGAGTTAGGTAGATGATAGATAGATAGATAGATAGATAGATAGATAGATAGATAGATAGATAGATAGATAGATAGATAGATAGATAGATAGATAGATAGATAGATAGATAGATAGATAGATAAAGAACCGCATAACGAAGTTGCGGTCTCCAACTACATTACCCATGAGTCTTCGCGCGCCTCTAGCTAGAAAAAACATGGCAGAATCGAAGCAGACGCCGGACGCAAACACGGGTATTCCCGAATATGAATATATCGATGTTAACACCAAACCCTTTCACGTTGGTTCGTTTAGGGACGAGTGGCTGGCCAGACTTCGTCCTGAAGACTTTTCCTTCCAGCAGGAGGACGAGGAGACGTTTGAAGCTAACTTTGCTGCGGAGATGGGGCTCGGAGCAGATACCATGGCTGAACTGAAATCAGCCTGCAGGTAGCTAACCGCTAACCCTTAAGTACACCTTTACTTACTTCACATTCCCAAGACGCTTTATATAAATTAATATTATTTGTGCTGGAAACACCCCCAAGTATATCTCAAGATGCTCTATTTTCTTCATTCGGTTGTCCAAAACCCAGTTTTCAATGGTCTACTTTATTAGGTACATCTGACACCTAAAAACAAGTCTAACTCGGCACGTTTAAGGGTATAGTTGTGTTTAAGATTGTCTACTGAAGTTAAAACCAAGCCTGAATGACTCTGACACACTTGTGTTTCCTGAACATTGGTTGCTTTTATGAAAAGACTAATTAGGAAGACTTCAGCATCTTGCTGCTAACTGATTCAGATGGAAATACAAAAGAAGATATAAAACGCATTCAGTCACTCATTATTTTTAACCACCGAATGGCTGTGGAGAGCTGGTGGTCTTAGCAGGTGGGAGGCGGGGGACACCATGGACAGGTCTCCAGTCCCATGACAGGGACACAGAGATGAGCATTCACACACTCACATCTGGCGACAATTTAGAGTAACCTGTTAACCTAATATGCATGTTTTTGGTCTGTGGTAGAAAACCCAGGCATGCATGGGGAGAACATGCTACTGTGTGCAGAAAGCTCACCACCAGAGTTTGAACCTGCGACCTTGCAGTGCTATCAACCGTGCAACTATGCAGCTCAAAAAGACATACACGAAGTGGTACGACTTTAAAAGTTGATAATATTATAGCTTTAGACATATAATAAAATTTGGCTTGTAATGTATTTTTAATAAGTATACGATTAAACAGAAATCGAGTGTGGTTTCAATCCACGTAACTACTGGTGACAATATTTGACCCTTCCATGCGTAGTAGTTTTTTGCCCACTTTAACAGAAATGACTGTAGACAAAATATCAGCCGAAGTTTAGGCAGTTGGGTGATCCATTCTGTTCGTCTTTGTTTCATTTATAACTGGATGCAATATTATTCTGAGTTTGTTCCTTTTTCTAGTATTGACTCACTTCGTTGTCACCCTGAAGATGAGCAGCTGAGTATGGACGATGTACCTTCAAACCCAAGGCTAAAAACACTCATGTATGAATCCTTTTAATCATAAATCATGATGTCTCGGATTTGCAGATGATGAGATTAAGTTTTTTTATAGACAAAGAAAAAGAAAGCAAGAACGTGCAAGTTCTCACAACATCCATAAGAACAGACACGACTTCTACGCTGATGAACTGGTAGGTGTGATGAGCAGTGTTGGGAACGTTACTTTAAAAAAGTAATTAGTTATATTTAACTAAACTTTCTCAAAAAGTAACTCGGTTACAAGATTATAAAAGTAACTAATTACCAAGAAATATAAATATTTTGCTAATTTTTTTCTATAAAGAATGCAAGAAAAATGGGTTCCCCTCTTAAATTTACTTAATTTACTATAAATTACTACACTACTGAAATATAAATGACTAATGACTGGAACATAATAAAATGCATGTCCAAATGTTTTTTATAAAACTGAGTAATTGAAATAAATGGGCACTTAATAGGAGGAACTACAAACAGGAACATTACACCAATCTAGACTATTTAACAAGACTCCAATCAGCTAACCTTTATAACTGCAGGAACCTGTAACCCCCAAATTCCACTACCTCCGCTCTGGCACGAACTCCGCAGCAAAATCGGTCCCATTGTACTCAATCAGAGCAATTCCACTACTGCGGCCGTGCAACGCAGTGCGCCGCCCTCTGTTCCGGCGTCCGGCAAAAATAGAATCAATCCTATTTTTGCCGGACGCCGGAGCACCTCCGCAGTCAATGGACAGAAATCACAACCGCCCAACAGGAAAGGGAGCAAGCACAACTTCCGTTATTTCACAATAAATCGATAAACAAAAAGCGTTTTTTGTTTCATATGCACAGGTTTAACAACTTTTAACAACTATCAATGGCGGCTGAAGTTTAAATGCACAAAAGTAAGCCATAAATATAGTTTCCACTATCAAAGCAGTCGCCCTTTGTTGATCCAAACACTGCTGATCTCTCAACACAAATGATGGGCAGATTAAACAGTTCATTTGCTGCAGTACACCTGCAGCAGAGAATCTGTGGGTCTTCAGCTGTAGACTATTCATCACGTCTTCCTCGTTCTTCACGGGCCATGATGCGCTTGGATGAAAACATCCGCCTCTTTAGCTCCCAACCAGCTGATGACAGCTTCAACGCGCAGCTGAATTCGTAACGCACGCCGCGTTTTCTTATCAGTAACGGAAACGGCGTTATGATAAAATAAGACAATAATTGATTGGATTACTCGTTACTGAAAAATAAATTTTTTTTAGTAACCCCGTTATTTTAAACGGTGTTACTCCCATCACTGGTGATGAGCATCGCTGATTCTATAGACTATTACCTCCTAATTCACCTTTTGATTTCTCCTTGTTTATTATTTTGTCACGATACACATTTTACATAGCTCCTTCACAGCTGCTTCTGGTTGTCCTGCCTGACTTATGTTAATCCTAGTCTCTCCTTTCTGCTACACAGGAACGATTAACTATTGGAAGACCTCCAGAAATGGGGGCTGACAGGATCCCTAAAGGAGAAGTCCTTCTAACCATCAACATCTACCACCCAGCTGTTTATGAAAAAGTGAGCATTCCATCACTTAGTCAAAGTGCCCCCAGCCTTCAGTCTGAAACAGGCGTTTATTCCTGAATGCATGCCTCTGTGGGTCTGACCTTTCCTTGCGCGTGTTCCCTCCAGTTTAACTTCACCAGACCTTGCATGACTCTGCTGATGACCGGCTCCCACACCCTGACTGAGCTCAGGGATGCCATTTGCTGCATCAGTGATCTGCAAGTGTGCGGCGAGTTCAGCAAGACCCCAGACGTTGCTCCAGACTTCATCAGCAAAGTATCCACATGCCTCTAAACACACACCCACACATACTGTGACAGTGCTCTTAATTAGAAAGTTACTGAAGATGGTAGGAAAGAATGACACAACATAAAGCTGCTGTTTTGATATGTTCTGTTTCAGGATCATTTTAAGTCGGCATTCTTTTTCTTTGAGGGAGTTTTCTACAATGACATGAGATTCCCTGAGTGCCAGGACATCAGCATGTAAGATTGTATACTCCTATTGACTGAGACTGTTTAGAATATTTGATTGTTGAGCATCTAATTTTCCCCTATTATTTGTAACTCCAGTAAAATCAATAACAACGTTCTAAAAGGCACAACTCTGTATATTCTGAGATTGGCAATTTTTATGATTGATTTCTGCACCTTTTTGCTCCAGCACTACTGTTGAATGGGCAAAGGCCCATAACTTCCCCCAGTATAGTCAGGCCAAGATGGAGGACACGCGCTTTGTGGATCTGAAGGTGAAAGTAGGATTCCCGTACCTCTATTGCCACCAGGGAGAATGTGAACATATCATCATTATCACAGATGTCAGGTTGGTGTTGTGTGATTAGAGTGTTTGCATCACACAGAACTAGTTTAAAGCAACACTAAAGAAGTTTTTTGCATCTCCACCTACTGGTTGAAAGTTGAATTACAACCGTCGTAAAAAAATCTACCACAGCCTGCTGTAGCTAGGGCTAACAACGAGCTATTGCTAACACGAGCCAACTGATACTAATTCAGCCACGAAGTATAAAGATCCACACTGTTGGACAAAAACAACTTACAAGTCCAGTGGCAACAAAGCCAGGTCACCATCAGATTGTGATTTTGTAGCCTCCTTCAAACAAGTTTGGCCTGCACCGATGTTCATTCTACTTTTAGCTCTTAAGTTCCAGGCACTGTCATGAAGTCAACAAAAAAAGCTAAATTATTCTTTTTCTTGTACATTTATCAACAGTCAGCAAACCAAAAAAGCTAACTGCTAGCCTTTATAGTAGCCACTGATGCAAACAGCTATTGCTGTAAAGAAGGTAGAGACCTCCAACTAGAGTCTCTACCCGAACCACAAAAAGCTTGAGGGCAGTTTCTGATTAGCAGAGGGCTGCAGAGTGCTGTCCAACGTGAAGCTGGTCAAGTTAATGAATCAAGAATCACTGAAACCAGTTTAAAATCAATAACTTTTAGTGTTAAAAGGTCTTAATTGTTGCTTCAAATCTGAGGAGTACGAGTGAGAATAAAGAAAACTGCATGTGTGTAAATAGTTGAACGAGATGTGTTGGAAAGCACTTTGCAGAACTTTGAGGAGGTTTTCTTAGTGTGGGCAATAAAACACGAAAGTTTTAAATTAAACTGTGAAGAAGGTCGCACGCGCCAAAATGCGTCGGCTTTTCCTTTTTTTTTTCTTGCTGATAATAAACATTTTTCAGAGTGCCTCGGGTTACCTGTTTTTCTTCCCCATCCACATTCCATAATTTTAAATGAAACCATTTGAAAATACACAATAAAAAACACTGATTTGCAAAGCTGCAGTTTCATTTGAGGGGAACTAAAGATTTACGATTGAGTCAATGAATGAAAAGCATTTTTAGGGATGTGAGAAAACCTTGATACACTGAAATATCACAAATAAATATTAATATTTAAAAGCAGTGTATCGATTTTAAAAACAACTTGCATGCTAACATTTACTGCAGGGGTGTCAAACTCAAACTCACACGGGGCCGAAATGAAACTCTGGGACGGAGTCGAGGGCCAAACTTAATATTTTTTGAAAAAGTGACGGCAAATTTGCACATTTTCTTTATCAACATATATGCAATTTTGAACCTTTAAATTTGGAAACAAACATATTTCTGCATTAACACTGAATGAGGAATAACCAAATTACACACGAGCAAGTCAGTTTTAAATAAAAGGCATCAGTGGTATTCATTACTTGTGGTATAATCAGCATTTTATAAATCTATTCAGGATTTATGTTTTCTTGTTTATTCATTTTTCTTATTTTTTTATTGTCCTTTTTTCTCCTGTAATACGTGTCATCGCTGCTGTGACATCTAGCTTTCCCCACTGAGGAACAATAAAGGGATTTTCTATTCTATTCATCTATCTGCAGCCTTTCCACTTCCTGTTTACTGTAGGTTAAATCTTTTCTCACGGGCCAACAACAAAATAAAAACATTATTTTATCTTAAATGAAAATGCAACATCTCACCTGTTAACTTTCATGTTTTGGAGCAGAAAAAGAGCATAAAACCAACATATTTAAAGCTCAGTTTGCTCCACTGGTTTACTGTGATGCTCACCTGTTCCAGCCAGATACCTGCATCATGGGGTTGATCTGAGCTGAGGAGGAGACTCCTGTTGTTTTGTTCATCTTCATCATAATAATGACAACATTAGATGACAACAGCTGCTCACATAGGTTTGTGCTGATGTCAGTTGCTGGAGTTATATCAGCTCTGTCTGGACGTTAGTTGGAAAACTTTCTCTTTCAGTCGTGAACACATTACTGAGCGGCTAGAATCTCCGTTTCTGGGCTTCAACGTCAGAAAATACCTGAGTGAACTCGGCGCTGAGTGAGAGGAGTGTTTAGTTTGTCCGAGACAGCGGAGCTGCAGACACCGGCAGCAGACGCTGGAAAAAACACAAAGGAGGGGGCGCGTCGGCTCCGCGCTAACGCCGCAAGCATCATGGGAGTTGAAGTCTTTGCGGTGAAATCGGCCAGCGGGCCAGTTTTAATATATTTTTGATATTTATTTCGCGGGCCACATAAAAATGCTCAGCGGGCCGCGTGTCTGACATATGTGATTTACTGTAATTCTTTTGTGTGGTGTAATTCAATGTTCAACCGCTAGGTGGCAGCAGTTTTACTGTCTTCATTCCAACAAAAACGAGATCTCGCGATAACACTGGATGTGTCTGAAATTGTCTGGCCTGAGTTTTCCAATTAAATCCAGTCGTTAAAATGTCAAATTTTGGCTTTTTGCATCGCGACACATCGTATCGTCTCCTGTTTTGTCATTTATTTTTATGTTTGAGGTCCAAGTTTGACTCTAAAAATGACCATGCAATTATTCATATTCCATTGAATGCATCTAATAGTGAATCGGGCGTTTTTTTTTTTTTTTTGAGTTGGGTGCGTGTGGGCTTTCACGTTAAAAAGTTGCCCATTTACTTTGATTCACACCCTGCACTAACCCATGAACTAATTATTATTTAGTAAGGGTTGATTTTCGTCAGCATTTTCCCTGAAATATCACTCTGAGCAGCTGTTTAACCAACAGAAGGCTCTGAAATAAAGCATCTCCTTGTCTGACAGGATTTAATGACTTTTACTGAACTTGAACGGAGGTGTTTCTGCATCAAATTCCACACAGCTGTTGCGTCAACAGCTTAATTACAGATGAAAGTCCCCATTCACATGGGAACTGTGGGACAGATTTCCATCTCTCTCTCAGAAATCCTCTTCATTCGTTTTTTGCAGATTGTTTCACAAGACCGACTGCCTGGATAAGAATCTGTACCCCCTTCTCACGCACAAGCACCGATCCCTCACACAGAAGTGTGCCGTTTGCCATGTCTTCATTGCCAGGTGTGTAACAATCAGTAAATTAGCAATAATGTCTTTTAACGTTTTAAAAACCGATTTCTGACCTTTTTATCAGGTGGTACACTACTAATGACCAGTTTGCTCCAAGCGATCCGTGCCTCTTCTGTGACCAGTGTTTCCGGATACTGCACTACGATACTGAAGGAAACAAGCTAGGACAGTTCTTTGCTTTTCCCTACACAGATCGAGGTGCCTTCAACTGAGTAGCAGAGAGATCACAGAGAAATGTTCTACATTTCTGATATTTATTTTTTAACAATTGTGAAGAATTTCAGTTTACTGGATGTACATTTGTCAATAAAATCATTTGTTTACATGTTTATTGATATTAGATGTTTAATCTGGATGTGATCAGGGTTTATTTGACTACTTAGCCTATTATTCTAGAGAAACCATATCAGTAGCAAAAGATTTAGCTCTGCAGGTCGGTCTAGCAACGCTCCATTTTAGCCTCAGCAGGTCTACCATTGGGCTGAGTAGTTTTGTGTCTAGCCAATCACATCACAATTTTTGTAGAGGGACGTAGTGGGCGTAGCACCAGAGCTGCAACAGAAAAACTACAAAGATGGCAATTTTATTTTATTTTTTTCCGGAATTGCGCTGCTCTGGGCGGCTGCACGTTGGAGTAGCTCTGTTGACTATATGTAAGTTTTGCCTTTTTTTGGGCATTTTTTCTTCTAGTTTCTCAAGAAAAAACGTGTTTTTTGGGACACTTTACTTTTCTGTTCCTGGTGCTGTGAAGCTAGGAGGATTTTTACTGCTATATTTTTTTAGCTTTTTTCACTTTTTGAGCATTTATGATGTGTAACCATGGCAACTAGCTGGTTTACAATCGGGAGCAGCTGATTAACATTGGAAAGGCTGAAGTAATACCTCAACTGAAGCCACAAATCCCAAATGAGCTAAAACGCAAGAAGCGTGGGTGCAGAGCGGGAGCAAAACGGAGACAGAGAAAGAGGAAATTCAAACCATCTCTTCCGTCGATCATAATGGGCAACGTGAGATCACTAGCCAACAAGATGGAGGAACTCCAAGCCCTTTCAAGGACTCAGCCAGAGTTTCGGCAGTTTTGGAACCACTGAAGGAGATAATGCAAAGAAGGATTCTCCAGAGAATCAAGAAAATGATGGACAACCCAGAGCATTCTCTTCACAAGACTGTCCGACAACGGAAGTGTCTTCAGTCAGAGGCTTCTTCAGTTTTGCTGCAACACTGACCGCTACTGGAGATCCTTCCTGCCAACAGCCATTGTAATATACAACTCTTTGATGACTTGATTATTATTCTGAGCTACTACAGCAATCAATTTCCCTCTGGAATTAAAGTATTTTTGAATTTAATTGAATCAGTTCAGGAACAGCCCTCAGTTGAAACAACTTTGGACAATTTAGACTTGGCCTTTTTTATGACATGAGCGGTCATTTATTTAGAAAAACAATGTATGCTAGACTGCCCTGTTGACTGCTGTAGAGATGAGTAAGTCGCGTTGTTTGTTATTTTGATCGGTCCTGGTGCTGCCCAACTGTAGATTCCATCCCAAGGCTGAGTCCTGTCTTTAGGTGATGTCCAGATGTATACGGGATTGCTTGCCAGGTTACCAAGACAAACTAGAACTTCTACTTTATTATGAGATGGTGACACAGATTAGACACAAAAATAATCTTATTTACATCTATGTTTAAAGAAAACTTTAACAAGGTTAAAAATAAAGCATTTTCTTGGTAACTTTGGTAAACTTTACACTTTTTGTGCACATCTGAACTATGAAAAACGCACTACAGATCAATAACACTGTGACCCAGTCTAAGATCCTCTGTATCAATGAGAACAAGCTAGATTTCTCAATTCCACAAATAAACTCTAAAAGAAATGATGAGACCATAAATATTAACTTCAGCCAAAACAAAGTGTACAAATGGTTTCTGTGAGAATGTTCATTAGCATCAACATTCAGTACTGCAGGTTTATCCTGATTTTATACTCTTGAGCTGTTGTAAAACCAAAAATTCACTGCAGGTAGCACAAGGTGTCTAAGAGTACAAAAATAGAATCATCAGTAAGACATTTAGGGGTGAATGGTGCATTTAAATCCTTCAGCAGCAAAACTAATGACAAGGTTTGAAAAATGGGACACTATTTTCACAAATGAAGTAGTACAGCAGCAAATCTCTTCTCTTCAAGCAAGCAGGACATTCAAGTAGACACCTCCTGGTCTTTTGAAGTGCTGAAAACAAACAAACAAAAAAAAGTTTGTAGATTCAATTAAAACAAGTAGGATTTCAAGTGACAGCCACTGTTGGGATGTCTAGTTAAAATTCAGAAAATTGTCCAAAAATATATAAAATGACAAATGTTTGGGTCTGACGATTGCTTAAAATTTTATTCAAGAGACACATTATGACTTTTCACCTTAAGCTATAACAGTCTTTGGTCAATGCAAAACATGTTCATGAAGTTCTTTGCACTAAATTTCTCTCACAAAAAGCCAACTCAGCAGTTTTACTCTAGATAGTTTCAGTACCTTCCAGAATGAGCTGTTTCAGGGTTCTGTCACTTTAAGAAAACAGCTGGAGCTGGCCACACCCACCCATTACTTACTCAGCCTGCTATAAGCTGAGAAGCTCTGATATCTGGGAGGGGCTTATAGTAGAACCTTCTCGTTCAGCAGCAGCTTTCCCTGTTTGTGATGTCACAATTGGGGACTTTCTGAAACACTTGTTTTAGGCACTTAAAATGACAACCTAACACATTTGACATGTTTATAGTGGCAGTAGAGACTCACATGGCAGCACTAAAGTTTTGCATTTTATGACCACTTTAAGAGCATTTAGGACAATTTGGACATTTAACAATGAAAATGAAAGTTTAAATAAAAAAGAACTTTAATTTAAAATGGTTGATCATTAGTGATGCGTTTCTGAGCAAAGCCAGGAGCTGATTATGTAAAAAGTGCACAAAAGCAAATTTATTGCTTGGTTTAATTAGTTGGTTCCACTTTCAATTTTGATGCATTTTCAGCACTCAGCATAAACAAGTACACCCAACTAGATTTGTCAGAAAACCTTTAGTTTCCTTTCAGAATCAACATTTTCTATGAGACTACTACAAAACACGCCCACAAATGTGGGCCATTCATTGCAAACAAGTTTTGTTCATTTCCACACACAAAACTGTGATTTTCCTATTAAATCCATTCAAGCCCATGTTGCAAAAATGAGTACACCCCAATTATAGTCTTAGAAGAAAAACCACACTTAAGACTACAAAATTCAAATGAACAGGCATTCAACCACAGGTGAGTCTAATGAATGAGGTGTCAAGATGACAGGTGACTATAAAAGGGCGTTACTTAAAGAAAAACCCTTGCCATTTCATGCTGTCAGCAATGGCTCCATGTGGAAGAGAAATGTCACAAAACCTGAGAAACGAAATCATTTCTTTACACAAAATGTTGATGACTACAAGAAGATCAGCAAAACTTTGCATATTAGTCAAAATACTGTAGCAAAAGTGATCCAAAAAGGTAAGAAAAATGGAAGTGCAACCATCTTACAGAGATGATGCAAAGGTATCGTCCACGAAGGAAGCCTCTCCTAAAGCCCATGCACAAAAATGCACACTTATTTGTTAGAGCCAAAAAGGTGAGGATTTCAAATAGAAATGCATGGTGCCTACAGTGAAACATGGTGGTGGCGGTGTCATTATGTGGGGCTACATGAGCACTGCTGGTGTTAGGGAGCTGCATTTCATTGATGGTATGAACTCAACAATGCACTGCTCTATACTGAAGGAAAAGATGCTGCCATCACTTTGCGCACTTGGTCGTCATGCACTTTTCCAACAAGACAATGATCCAAAACACACGAACAGGGTGAAGGTGATTGAATGTCTCCTGATCTGAACCCAATCAAGGTTCTGTGTGGGGAGTTCTGATGCAGCAAGTTGAGCATCACTCTCTCCATCCAGCATCCAGGCTCTGAAAGAGGTTCTTCTTGAAGAATGGAAAAAGATGTTGCTATGCGTCGCCAAGTTCATTCCATGTCTAGAAGACTTGGTGCTGTCCTTGAAAATCATGGTGGTCATACAAAACACTAGATGTAGTAGTTTTTGTTGGGGGGTGTATTCATTTTTGCTTCAAACTTCTTTGATCTAAGTTATATTATTAACCTTAATTTCAGGTTATGGAGTTAAACAAGTGTTCAATAAAAGCCAGCCTTGTGAAGATTCTGGAAATTGTTATTTTGTTCATTGAGCTGCTGATTAAATTCATACTTTTTAAAAGGGGGTGTACTCATTAATGCTGAACACTGTAACCTTACTAAACCCTAAACTGATCTGTGAGCCTGCAGAAGATGATGCTAAAAACCTTTTTCAGACATTGACAACACTTTATAGATTTTTAAAAGTTGTTTTTTAAAGACCGAGTGCTAGTGCAACCGTTCATAAACCGTCTAATAAATCCTGAGCTGTTGGGTCATTCCTCTCTGTAGACCTACAGAAAACTTTTTCAGGAACTTCTTAATTATGTTTACTTTTTTAGATGGCTTGTTTTTGGCGTTGCATCTGTATGTTCAATCAGCCTCTATAGAGTTGCATCAGAGCGTGAGACGACTTGTGATGATAAAGTTCCTGCTCTAAAACAGAAGTTAAACAAACCCACCCAGTATACTCAAAAAATGTATAATTTTTCCCTTGAAGTTTTAGACCTAGTCCACACGTAGCCGGGTTTTTTTTTTAAACGAATACCCGCCCCTCCAAAAACTTGCATCCACACCACCTCGTTTTAAATAGAAACTCTGTCCACACGTACCCGGATAAATACGTTGTTAAGGACATGCCAGACCTGTAGGCGGCAGTACGTCCCCCGTTCTTAACCTCGTCCTTCGTCTGTGGTCTTCCGCAAGGAGCAGTAATTCTGCTTGCAAAAACAAACAAGCAAAAAGCGCTTGGACAATTGATAAAGCGAGCGCAGCTCTGAGGGCATCCATGCTGTCGGCTAGTGTAAACACAGGTCGCACACGTGATGTCAGCATTTTTTTGTCGAGGAAAGTGACGTTGTGGACCTTAAAACTCCGGTTTTGTCTGTCCACACGCAGGCACCCAAAACGGAGAAAACGCAGATCTTCACTTTGGCCGGAGTTTTTAAAAAGATCCATTTTCGTGTGGATGACAGGCCCGGCTACATGTGGACAGGGCCTTAGAAAGAAAAACAAAGATGGTGTAGTCCAAAACTACCCTTTGACAGATCTAACTGGTGTGTTAGACTCTAGTTAAAATGCAAAAGAACTGCCCGTCTTTATTTAGTTAATTTTGCGTAGACTACCTGTGATTTTCTCCTGCAGAAGCCTCCTCAGGCTTCTGTCTCTGCCCCTCCTGTTTTTCTTCAGGATCCACGTCTCCATTGGTCACCTTATCTAAAACACAGAATCATAGACTTGATTAGACGTCATTGCAAAATCTGCACGACCACACAGGCCAGCTTTAGGGAGCATGTGATGCCACATGCAGCAATTCTAAAGGTTACTGGGATGAAGAGGTTTTCCACCCATTAGGTATGCTTTCCTCTAAAAGAGAAACGTCTCATCGTTGAGACACTGGGTTTGGTAACTGGATGTGAACAAAT